TCAGGTTATATAGACACATTTACACAATTAAACATAAATTAGGAGTAGAAGCAGAAGAGAAGAGGGCCTTACACCAGAAGAGAAGGAAATGCCTGCCTCCTCTGTCGTCACCTTGATCCCTGCCTCATGCAACAACCTTCTTGACGAACTGGTGGGAGTGTTGCAGTCACACAATACAACTCGGGGTTTACCTGCACTCTGCCCCATGGCAAAGGCAGTGGCGGGGAGGAGATGGCTCCTGGTGGAAAGCTCTAGAAGGAAGCTCACAAAGACATCTTTTACTCAATGGCTTTTCTTCTTGTGCCATATTCATCATCGGACATTGGTGATCATGTTGGCAATCCTATTTTTATCAACAGCCACACCAAAAAGGGCTGCTGAGTTTCGTCCACACCACACCCTTAGATTTTGAAGCCCTGATGTTCTTCTGCCTGGACCTCGTTTGCCTGGAGGATTAAGTGAAGGAGGCCGTATTTTTCTGGGTGTCGCATCACATGTCCAAAATATTCTGTTGCTTTTTAATGATTTTGATGATTTCTCTTAGCTTTCCCAGGCGGCTTATCCCCTCCTCATTTCTGATTTGGCGAACCCAGCTTACAACAACTCAATGGGTAGGCTCACTCAAACTCCTACAATAAGCTGCCCCCTAAAATGGTGGTTTGGCGCATGGTGGGAATTCTCAATTTTCAGTGTTACACAAAACATAAATCCAGGGTTTAGTCTCCATCTTGGGCAGCTATAAACAAACCGTCTTCAGACTGCAGCTGGCTTTCCAGACTCAAATCTAAAGGGATTGTGCCATGTTCTGTTTTATTTTTATTTTTCATATGATATTACTGTCTAGCCATTCTGCTTATGTAAGCCTCATCATTACCTCAGTGAAACATCAGCTTAATAGATTAATTGTGGGGAGGAGTATTTGCTATAGCCTGTTCAGTTGGAAAGTTTGACATTTCTGGGATCTGTGTCATTTGAGTGACGACATAGCAATAGCACTTACTTATATACTGCTGTTCTGACCCAAACCTGTTTCCAAGAGAGCAAATAAAAGACAAAGGCAGCAGCACAACCTTTTAATGTTTCATCTATGAATTCTGTTTCTTCACAGATAAAAGGCTGCTTCCAACTAATTAGCTCCGACAAGAAAAAGCCTCGCCAAGTTTTTGCAAGGCTGCCAAAAAACAACAGATAAGAAATAGTTTACAACACAAGAGTCTTCAAATACCAACTGGAATGTCCACAAGGCTGAGTTTCAAAACGTCTTTGCTTCCTACAAAGAACGTTCGCTGCACAGCTGGCTTTTATCTTCTTGAAGGATGGGCCGTTACCTTGCAGCCTTACTCCCGAGTCGCCCGTGCTGTTGTAGCCACTCTTTCCTGCGAGCAATCCTGCGTGCGCACACACTGGTCACAGTCTCCTCGGGAACCTCCTCATCGCTGCTGCCAGCCCCCACAATCTCTGAAGGCAGCAGTCCACTCCCTGATGGTCCTGGCCCTTCATCTGAGTCCTCGCTCTCCTCAGCTGTCCTCACCTGCCGCCAGCTAACCACAACAAGTGCTTCATGGTGCTTTACAGCACTTTCTGATTTACAAACGTCAGCATCTTCCCCCCAGCAATCTGGATCCTCATTTTTTCCAACCTGGGAAGGATGGAAGGCTGAGTCAACCATGAGCCGGTGACAATCGAACTGGTGGCAGTGGGCAGAGTAAGCCTGCAATGCTGCATTCTAACCATCGCGCCATCACCTTGCTCCCTTTCTCCCTTCAGCAGCTCCATGTCCTATCCGCACTTGGCCCCCTTTCCTAAAAACCTCATCCCCTCCAGTTGCAATACCTCACTGCAGCCAACATCCCACGCCCATCAGAACTTTTCTTGCCTCTCCTGATTATTTTTCTACTCTTCCCCTTAACCCTGGAATTGTGTTTCGGTCCATTCTTGGGACCACACAGCTCTGTTTCCTTCTGTGCCTGGACCAAGAGGAATCTTTTGGTTCCTGCGTAAATCATTTGGAAAGGAGCTCTTCTATCTCTGGAAGGGTTCAAATAAAACCTGCTTTGCTCATCCCTTATACGAAGCCAGCCAGCTATTTACTTAATTTTATTTGTTTGTTTTTATTTAACAGGGAGCATTTGAAGTCAGTCCTAGTGAGTAGATTACAGATTAACAGGATTGGAAGGAACCTTGTAGGTCATCTAGTCCAACCCCTCCCCGCCCAAGCAGGAGACCCTACACCATTTCTTACAGATGGCAGTCCAGTCTCTTCTTGAAAATCTCAAGTGATGAAGCTCCCACAACTTCCGAGGGCAACTTCTGTTCCATTGGTTGATTGCTCTCATTGTCAGAAAAATTATCCTTATTTCCAGGTTGAATCTCTCCTTGTTCAGTTTCCATCCATTATTCCTTGTCTGATGGCCCTGGACTCTTAAAATTTCTTACTTTGGGGGAACTAAGTATATTATTTTCTGTTTTAATTGGACTAAAAGGGCCACTCTCTCTGAATATTTTCATTGCAATACTTTGGCAAACTTTCCAACATGCATTTCTAAAGGGGGCACTTTTCTACTACAGCATCCAATAGCATAGATGTACTTGCAGGGATTTTTTTTGTGTGGGTATGTATGCACATCACACCCACAGTTTATAAAACAAGGGAAGAATTTGTTCCTTAGACTGGAAGACATGCACGCTGCTCATACAACCCCACTTCACACAACAAATTTTGAAAGCAGAAAAACATCCTCTGTTATGGGAAAGTATGCATGCATGTGTTTTTGCGCACATGCAATTGCTTGCAATAGAGGTGAGCTAGAGAATGCATTTTGCTCAACATATTTTATCTGGGCCTGTTCAGTGATAATACCAAAAGGTGCTTTTTCAAGAGGCAACTGGAGTTTCTGGTTTTTCTTTGAAGACGTTTCGCTTTTCATGAAGAAGCTTCTTCAGCTCTGACTGGAACGTGGGGAATGGAAGGATTTATACTGACACAGGACAGAAAACATTCTGCAGCCAAGAAGGCTCCAAACTCATCTGCCCTACTCAGGTCACCCTGAGGACACAGATAAACCTCCAAGTGGCCTCAACGTCTCTCTAAAAGGATGCAAATGACCAGCTGTCTGCAAGGAATAGAAATCCTTCTATTCCCTACCATCCAGTCAGAGCCGAAGAAGCTTCTTGGATGAGAAGCAAAACATCTTCAAAAAAAACCCAGAAAGTCCAGTTGCCTCCTGAAAAAGCACTTTTAGAACAACCATGACCTGGATGACTGAGAATTTCCATCGACATTTGCCTAAAAATACCTTACAAATCAAGTGGAATATTGACATTAAACTCGATTGTTCCCCCCCTGGAGCTGAGGTTCTGCCAATAAAAGTCATTTTGGAATGAAGAAAAGAACAGTAAATGATCAATAAACAGAAGTGTTTATCCTCCAACTGCCAAAAAGCAACACTGGGACTAATTCTTGTTCATTAGAATGAACAAGGGAAAGAAAGTCAATAACTAATTGCCGTCCAGCCATTAAATGTTAACTAAAGAGCAATAAGAGGGATGCATTTAGCGGCAGGCCATTACGAGCTGCTACTGAAGACAATTTCTCTTTTCAGAGCCCAGCAGATCCTCAGTTGTAACTTAGGAAACACTGTAGATGTGTAAACATCCACTGGAGCACATAGAAGTCCTGCTGTTGAGGCTCAGAGATTTGGGGTTGGTTTGTTCTTAAGTGCTTATGGATTGACTATCCCAGAGTAGTGGTCGCCAACCAGTGGGCCAGGAACCACTGGTGGTCCTCTTGATCCAAGAGGATCTGCAACCTAACATTTGTTACCTTTTGTTTCACACTGTTGTGGTCCGCCGGCAGCCTGCGGAGATGGTAGCAGAATCCGACAGTGGGGAGGAACATGGGCCGGTCTGGGAGTTTAGGGAGGACTCGGACGAGGGTCCTGTGTACGACGCAGAGATGGGGCCAGGGCCATCTGGGAGTTATGTGCTGACTCCGGAGCCTCCAGAATCAGACAGCAGCGAGGCAGAGGAACAGGGGGAGCCTGTTCCCAGTGCGCGTATGCACAGAGCTGCCAGAAGGCAAGAGCAGCTAAGACAAAAGGGGTGACTCGAGAGTACGGCTTGGAGATGATTAGCCCTCCCATAAGATATAAAGGAAATGCAAAGGGACAGGAACCTTTGCAGGAAGCAACATCGTTCGCTCTGTTCAGATTAAATCTTGAAGCTCTGTGTGGACTTTGTACTTCGTTTGGCTTTTTACAGTTAATTTTACACTTTAGCTGTTGGCAGCAATTCAAAGGAGAGAAAGGTGGGTGTTTATCTCAGGGGACTGTTTGAAATAAAAAGAGAGTTGTTTGGACTAATGGATGTGATTAATTACGGTCTCAGGAAGCCTTGGTCAGAACACACATGTTAAGCCAGACTTATCAGGAAAAAAAACACGAGGTAAATTTCAGAGTGTAGTAAGATTTTTTAAACTTTACTACAGGCTGGTGGTGTACAGGACTTACAAGAGTTCATTTAGCGACTGTTCAAAGTTACAACTGCATTGAATAAAGACCATTTTTCATACTTATGAACATTGAAGCATCTCCATGAAAAATTCATCAAAATTCATATGCTTGGTGATTGGTTCAGATATACGACAATTACTGTGTCCCAGGGTCATGTGATCATGTGATCATCTTTTGAGACTTTCTGACAAGCAAAGTCAACAGGAAAGCCACTTAACAACCCGTGTGACTAACTTAACAATTGCAGTGATTCACTTAAGAAACGGGGCAAGAAAAGTTGTAAAATAGGCAAAACACTTAGCAAATTTCTCACTTAACAACATAAATTCAATTGTGATTGTAAGTCGAGGACTACCTGTATTTAGCAGACAGGGGAACTAAGCCATTTTTTTTTACTTTAGTGTACCGTGAGAATCCAGGAAAAGGTTAACTCCCGACCTGTGATGACAGCTGAAGAGCCCAAAGCAAGGAGCCTTCCTATGCGCTTACCTGGAAGAGGATCTGAAGGATGCCATGGGCCAGGCACATGCGCCGCCCCAGGAAGACAAAGAAAGGCACAACCAGCTCAATGAAATGGTTGAAGAGAGTCTCAAATGCATGGAACCACCAAGGCGACCGGTGCATGAAATAGGCCACAGGATTGGGAACTGGCTGAGTCTAGAAGAGAGAAAACAAGACGGTAGCAATAGCACATAAGATTTATATGCTGCAAATAATGACATGCGCTGAAATGGACAAATTGACTCCAGCCTCGCAACATCTGCCGGAGAATGGACAGCCGAGGCTACACAATCCACACGGCCCCTGAAGACCTCAACTGGCCTCTTTTTAAGATGTACAGGTTAGTCCTCAACTGACAAGAGTTTGTTTAGCGACCGTTCAAAATTGCAACAGCACTGAAACACCGTCATGACCGTATTTCACACTTTGTGACCACTGCAGCACCCCCAAAGTTCACGCGATCAAAATTCAGACACACACACACACACACAGCAACTTGACTCGTATTTATGACGATTGCAGTGTCCCGGGTTGACATGACCCCCTTTTGTGACCTTCTGATAAGCAGTCAATGGGGAAACGTAACAACTGCAGGGACTCACTTCACACGTGTGGGAAGGAAGGTCTTCGAATCGGCCCAAGCTTACTTAACAAATGTCTTCGCTTAGCAACGGACATTTCAGGTTCAATTGTGGTTGTAAGACGAGGACTACTGGTATACAGGTGTGTATTTTTTGGGGGGTGGGTGGGAATCTTTTATGGGTTGCACACACTATCAGCAGCTCCTTGTCACCACACCTGCCCATTGCTACACACTTGCTTTTCAGAATGCAGGATTGTCCCAGAGATTTTTCATCTTGGAAAGGAGATGAGAGAGGAGGGAAGACAGGCAAACGGCAGAGAAACTGAGAGCCAAATAGCAAAAGTTTGAGGCTGAGGGCATTTTAGCACATCGAATGCGAATTAGACTTCCAAACTTCTTCCAATCTTCTGACAGCGAAGCGAAGGAGGTGGGAAAGACCAATGATAATTGGAAGAGACGCAACGCATCTTTAACCAGTTTGCAGCGGAAAGGAAGAAAGGAAAAGCCAAAACGACGAGAGGGAAGAGCGTGCACAAGAGAACGGCCTCCCCCTCCTCCCTCCGCCAAACACTGGAACGAATGCAGCGCCATTATTAGCATAGCTGGAATTAATCATGTTGTTGCTTTCTATTGGTTTTGGGCTGGATGGAATCCCCTCAGGACAAAAGACCGCATCCTTCCTTCCGCTGACGGGGGGGGGGGGGCAGGACGGAACGAGCGGAAGGGTCATGGAGCACAGCCGAGGCCCTGATCTCAGGGTCAGGGACAGGGGGTGCTGCCCCCTCCACTCCCAGCCCCTACGGGGACTGGTTTGAGTTAGCATCCAAGGGAGGCTGGGCCAAAGTGTGTGTGTGTGTGTGTGTGTGTGTGTGTGTGTGTGTGTGTGTGAGAGAGAGAGAGAGAGAGAGAGAGAGAGAGAGAGAGAGAGAGAGAGAGAGAGAGAGAAAGAAAGAAAGAAAGAAAGAAAGAAAGAAAGAAAGAAAGAAAGAAAGAAAGAAGAAAGGGAGAGAAAGAAAGGAGAGCAAAAGAGAGTGAAAGAGAGAAAAAGAGAGAGTAAGGGAGGGAAGCAGGGACAGGGAGAGGGAAAAAGAAAGAGAGAAGAAGGGAAAGAGAGAGAGAGGGAGAGAGTAAGGGAGGGAAGCAGGGAGAGGGAGAAAGAAAAAGGAAGAGAGAGAGAGAGAAAGGGAGAGAGAAAGGAAGTGAGAAAGAAAGAGAGAAAGGGAGTGGGAGAGAAGAGAGAGAAAGAGTGAGCGAGTGAGTGAGTGAGTGAGAAAAAGAGTGAGAGAAAGAAATAGAGAGAAAAAGAGAGAGAGTGAGGGAGGGAAGGAGGGACAGGGAGAGGGAGAAAGAAAGAGGAGGAGAATGAAAGAGAAAGAGAAAGGGAGGGAGACGGAGGGAGAGAGAGAAAGAGAGAAGGAGAGAAAGAGAGAGAGAGAGAGAGAGAGAAAGAGAGAAAGGGAGGGAGGGGGAGGGAGGGAAGGAGAGAGAGAGAGAGAGAGAAAAAAAGACAAAATATGTGGGCTTGGTGCTGCTTTACTCGAAGCCCAGAAAGGATACACAGAAGATGCATCCAATCAGTGAGGAGAAAAGGCACACCAAATTGCCCAGAGCTCAGCCAATGTGTTTCCTTTTCTTCCCAAAATCACTTGAGTTTTTTGCTTTAATGTGACAACCCTTCAAGTAGTGGAAGAGAACTATCATGTCACCCTTTGTTAGACCAGAGATACCTAGTTCTGTCAACTGTGCATAATAAAATTTAGCTTCTAGCCCCATAATCATCTTTGTTGCTCTTCTTTTCACTTTTTCTAGAGTCTTAATATTTTGGGGAGGGGGGGGGGCGGGGGTGGTGGTCATGGCCAAAACTGGACACAATATTCCAAGCACGGTCTTACCAAAGCAGTACAAAGCAGCCTTAACTCTTCCCATGACCTTGATATCAGGGTTCCAAGTAATAGACCCATAACAAGCAAAACTCCGAGGCAGACGGAAAAGAACAGCTTTATTGGCTATATCATATTGGCACAGATCTGGTGAAAACCGATTCTGAAGCTTCCCACGCTTTTCACCGCATTAAAAGTTGGTCACTTTCTCAAAACAATCAGTCACATGGTCCAATCACAGCGCTGTCTGGTTGCCTGGTGACATCATTCCGCCTTCCTCGGACCAGGTGTGAGAATGTCCTTGTTTCCCAAGAGAAAATGTTTTGTTTTGACTACAAACTCCCAGCTATCTTCAAATCCCCCCCTCCCCCGCTCCAGTGCGGCAACACTGAAGCAGTTAAAAATGGCTTCGGTCAGGTCAGCTTCAGGATTGACACTTGATGCGATTCCTGTGTTGATTGGCCTTTTTGGAGGCTACAGCATACTACTGGTTTGCATTTAAGTGTTGGTCCATTAGGATACCCGTTAAGCTGTTATACGTAGGTAGTAACCAGTTAGGAATTATCCAAAGGACAATTATCCAAATTGTCCTGAAATGAATCTGCAGAAATATGGTGTAACTCCTATAAAATGAGCGATAAAGCGTTATGGGCTTATGTTTCCCCAGTGCCTGAATTCCCTCAAACCCCAGAGTTTGCCAAAGCCGTTGTGTTCACCAGGTATGAAGCTGGTGTTCTTAGAATTCATTCTCTTAAGAGGCCAATCAACCTGGTGTGTTGTTTGGCACTAGCAAACCCTAAAGGAAGGAAAGTGTAGCGACACCTGGATGTCATGGATTCCATTCAGTGGATTTTGGATGGAGAAACGGGGGTCCTGTGGAGGTAGATGATAGAGAAAACTTTGCATGGGTAGGCAGTCCAGATGACCACTTGAAAAGGACGTGTCCAATGTCCCAAAGCTGCTTTTTTTTTTCAGGAGGATACTGGACTTCCTTGTTTTTTCTTTTGAAGATGCTTCGCTTCTCATCCAAGAATGGAGGATGCGATGAACACACTTTGAATGGTATGGAAGGGATTTCCAGAGGGGAAAATGCCAGGCGACAGGAACCCAGGAATGCTACTCAGGTGACCCTGAGGACAGAGATAAACCTCCAAGTGGCCTCAACGACCCTCTAAAACAGGGGTGGGATTCTACCGGTCCGGACCAGTTTGGGTGAATTTGTATCTGGTTCACCAAACCGATATTTGAACCGACCAGCTGGCCCCTCCCACGAGTCTCCACATGGCCCATTTTGGATGCAGGAAAGGGCAGGGTCCGCGCAGAGGCTGGGGGGGGGGGAAATGGGCCTTCCAGATGTATCGGAAGTCCAGAAACGGGCCTGTCTCCGGCCTCCAGAGCCCAGGGGAGCCATTTTCACCCTCCTGGAAGCCTGAGGGAAGCCTCCAGATCCTCGGGAAGGCCAAAAATCAGCCCACCCGGAAGTTCCAGGAGGCCACACCCACCATGGCCATGCCGACCCAGCAACTGGGCAGCAAACGGTTGCCCACCCCTGCTCTAAAAGGATGGAAATCATTAGCTGTCTGCAAGGAGTATCAATCCCTCCATTTCCCACCATCCAGTCAGATCTGGAGAAGCTCCTTGGATGAGAAGCGAAACGTCTTCAAAAGAAAAACCCGGTTGCCTCCTGAAAAATCCCCTTTGGGACAACCATGACTTGGAGGATGGAGAATCTCTACAGACTTCTAACCCCGTCTAATGCAACTGAAGTATTTGAGACAGCATATTTTAACATGCAAAAGAGAGGAAAAAAAGGGGGATCAATTTATATCATTTTCAGCGAGTTGCATCATTTACGTACTGACATTACACCAACGATGCCATTAGTAGAAATGACGTCATTTTGTAACTTAATTGTAACTTAACTCCCATTTCCCCTGTGTCTCTTAAATCAAGATTTCACTGTGTCTGGACTGAACCTTAAAGGGGTAATTGAGGGTGTGTTTAGGCAGCTTGAACTCAGTCCCATGCTGGAACTAAAAAAATTACCAGCAACATGCAACCACTTGGAAGATCTTGGTAATTGAGAGAGCGCCTCGTCCCACTCCACCCCCAGCCTCCGCACATCACTCACTTTCTTGCAGTGCCCCATGATGGGCCTCCCCAGTGAACCCCCGCCCTTTTATCGGGAAGATTTCAGAGGGCACTGCAATATGGCTTCCATTAAGCCTTGAATGTCAAGAAAACCATATATACGATTAACATCTAGCTCGACGAGGAGCTATAGAAAACAGTGTTCCCACAGTCCCAGATGTTGCCAAAATGGGAACAGCAGTGCTTCCCGTGGCTCATTTTCTTCCCCATGTGAAGTGGTGAAAGATGGGTTGGGTGGGAGGGCAGGAAGGGTAATCTGGTCTTACCCTTCTGGCGGTAAGAATGGAATGGAACGGGGCAGGGTGGGGAGGGGTGGAATGGAATAGAATAGAGAATAGAGAATAAGGAATAGAATAGAATAGGAAAGAATAGAATAGAATAGAATAGAATAGAATAGAATAGAATAGAATAGAATAGAATAAGGAAAGAACAGAATAGAATAGAATAGAATAGAATAGAATAGAATAGAATAGAATAGAATAGAATAGA